GATGAGATTGAAGGGGTCCCACTTCCCCCACGGACTTGGGCACACTGAAGGGACTTTGCGCAGAGTGCAGCATGACCAGGAGACTGAGGCCAGGCTGGTTGGGTGACAGACTCATGACACAGGGAATGCTTCCCTGGAGAAAAGTCCTAGTGAGTTGTTCATGTCTTCACTATTTGGAGGGTTTCCATTTGGAGTAAGCCTTAGTTTGTTGTGTCATAGGAGGGCATAAGAACTCTGGTGCAGTAAAGGGCTTCATGTTCTGACAGCGTGTGGAGAAGCACTTCTTACAGTATTGGCGGACGGGAGAGATCCCCAGGTCATGGCGGCACTTCCTGGTGTGGGAACAGAACTGGGGCCCATACTCAAGTGATACTTCTTACTGTGTTGGAAAGGAAGATAAACTGCTGTGTAACTGTTTGGATCTTGGTCTTCTGGGTTCTTTCCTTGGAGCTGGAGTGTGGAGAACATTGACTCCTTTACGCCTCTGGAGAAAAAAAGTGGACATGTTCTGTCAGAGAGAGAGAGGGAGGGAGGGGGCGAGCATGTGTCTCTGGTGTTTTGTTAAAACAGAATGTGGAGAGAACCAAGAAAGCAATGCTTAAAAAAAAAAAATATATATATACACACACACACACACACACACACACATGTACCTATATACGTGTGTGTGTGTGTGTGTGTGTATATTTATATTTATATTTATACTTGGCCCTAAGGAGCTTTGACACAAATACAGAAAGGAAAATTATTGATGGGCTGATCTTTCCTCCTAAGGTCAAAGAGCATTTGAATAAAGCTGAGGAAGCTGTGAAACCACTTGAGATACTTATTTCCTTAAACTACTTGTTTATCTGTTATTTAGCTTGAATTCCAACTAAAAATCAAAACAAGAAAATAACTTTGTAGACAAATGATGTTGCAGACATGAGTGATTCAAGGACCTTGACATGTAATTACACTTCCTGCTTCTGTGAAGATGACATTTTTTTTTTTTTTTGGTACCGGGGATCGAACTCAGGTCCTCATGCTTGCACAGCAGGCTGTGAAACCACTGAGCTCAATCCCCGGCCCGAAGATGACATTTTAAGGGATGATCAAATTGTTGGATGTAGAAAGTTTCCAACGTAAATTTTGCTAGCTTTCAGTAGTGCATGGCTGGCTTGGCGGGCAGGGGTTTTTGTGATTGTGTGTATATAAGATATACACGTGTGTATGCGTGTGTGTATGCGTGTGTGTGTGTGTGTACACACGAACACATGTCCACCCTGGTGTAAGACAGACAGCATTGTCTCTCTGTTAACAGCCAGGCCATGCACAGCAGCTTCTCATCCCTCCCCGTGCACTTACTGTTTGACTGCATAGGTGCTTTTCCGCTTTCTTTAAAGATGAGAAGTTGAAGTTCTCTGGTTCAAGTAATTTTTTTATTTTCGTTTCCTAGGTAGAGAAGATTATCTGTAATTTAAAACCAGCTTTAAAGCTTCGTCTGCGATTCATCACGCACATCAGCAAGATGGAGCCAGCCGCGGTGCCCCCACAGGCCCTGAGCAGCGGGTCCCCTGCGCCGCAGTCCACCCCGGTGCCCACGCCCCTACCGGGAGCGCAGTGAAGCTGGGAGCAGGGTGAGGGCGGAAGCACAAGGACTCCCCTTCCTCCATTCAATCTGAACGCGATCACGCTGTGAGCCGTGCTAGAGACAGCAGTGATGCTCAGGTTGTTTTATTTTGATTCAGTTGTTGAATCTCTTGCCACCTGTAATTCCCATCTCCCCAGCTCTGCGTTGTGTCTAAGACACCAGATGAGCTCCTTGTTTGGTGTTCGTGCTCACAGTAATGAAAACGCTCCCCTGGGACACAGGTGTCTGTAGTCGATGACGACTTACTGGGCGCCCAGTCTCCCACCCCCATTTTAACCATTGTTTTTTATTATGCACAACATACTTGGTCTTCAAGTATATTATTTTAAAGATGCAACACATACAAAGTAGTCATCACAATGCCTTTTATACGTAAATCTTTGGCATAGCTTCACAATAGAGATTTTTATCACTTGAACAACTGTAGATTGCATTGCATTGCAGGACCAATAAGGTTTCATATTTTTTTTAAATGGCTTGAAATTTTTATTGTAAATTTCCAAAAAAGTAGTCTAATGTTTTTATCAAGGTAGGTTGGCAGTTTTTTGTCTTTGCTTGGAACTTACTCTCTGAATTGAGTTGGAATCCATGTAAGAAAATAACGTATCTGCAAATGCTTAAATTTAAATAAAATGCTTCAATGGTTGATTCTCCAATCTGTTTTTAAAAATTAATTAATTGTGCATGTTGACACTTGGCAGATGATATGTGTCTTTGAATTTTTATAATCTCAGATTTTTAAATATTTATATTTTTAAATACAATGTACATTTTTGTTCTTTGGAGTTTATTAGATGTTGAGAGACATATTGTTAATTTTAAGGGGAAATGGCATTGTGCAAAACATGACAAGTGGTGAAGTCTGTTGCCTGAATAAACTGTATGATTTTTTAATGACCCGATTTGTGCAGGCTGCGTGCTGAATGGCAGGGCACTGGGTGGATCCATGTTTTACACTAGTTGGTGACTGACGCTGGCCTAGGAATTCAAAGTTACTGATTTTTTTAAAAAGGATTAACCAATTGCACTTAAAATTCTTCTAAATACATTCCTCCTAGACGTTTATTTTCCTTAGAGTTCACATTATTCCACTCTCTAAGTCTTTTATTTCCAATATAAGACAAGCTTAAAATTTATATAATGGTAAAATTAATTTTTCTAGACTAACATTATTTTTAGTATTCTCCAGAAATTTTATAATAGAAAAGATTCCAAATATCCTTTTTAACAAACTCCCAATGTAGTCTTGTTGCCTTGTGGAATCTATTGCTTTACTTTGAGTGGTTTTTTTGTGGGGTTTTTTTGTTGTTGTTGTTCTTTAGTTTTTTGAGACAAGGTCTCACTGCCTCATTGCCTCACTGTTGCTGGCCCTGAACTCACAGTATAGCCTAGGCTGGCCTTGAACTCGCACAATCCTCCAGCCTCTGCCTCCTGAGTGCTGGGATTATAGGTGTGCACCACCACATCCAGTTTATTGATTTCTTTGAGATCTTAGAATGGCAGTCATTGTGACACCATTGTTACACTATTATACAAACAGAATAAAGGAGATGAAAATCATTATCACCACTTTTTCAAGGACATATATATTCCAATTAACTTACTAAAAATTAAATTTTCCCTCTCTAGCTTACAAAAATAGGAATCTTTCTATCCCTAAGCTTTTTGAAAGACTAATCAGAGGAATACAATAGTAACTTTGAGTTTAGAATATAGCTGAGGGAAGAAAATGCGTTTATATTCATTGTATCCTAAAAAGACATTTAATTAGTGACTTTACAGCAGCTCTGTCCAGTCCAGCTTTGTGCAGTGATAGAAACGTTCTGTACCTATGCAACACAGCAGTTAGTAGCTGCACACTGCCATTAGACATTTGAAATGTGGAACTGAGTTAAATTTTACTAAAAATTACACGTCGCTACTGTACTAGACAGTGTACTACTTGAAGGATAAGTCATAATTATCTAGAAGCATTTCGATAAAATATAATACAAGAGCAAGAGAAACTAATTAGGTTTAAAATTCTGGATTACATGTGAAAAATTAAGAGAGTAGAGGCCCTTTTTTTTTTTTTTTTTTTTTTGAGACAGGGTCTCACTGTGTAGTGTTGGCTGACCTTGAACTCACTGTGTGGCCCAGGCTGGCCCTCCTGCCTCAGCCCCCCAGTCCTGGGATCAGACATGTGCCTCCACACCCGGTGAAGCTCTTTAACACAGAGCTGTGAAAGCAGCACAATAAAAACCTGTCAGTGGAGCCTGCTTCATTCCAGAGTTCGCACGGGTCCTGTGTGAGTCGGGGGAGGGTTGAGAGCTGCTTTCTTCTTTTGACCTAGTTATTCTCTTCTTTTTTTCAGTACCAGGGATCAAACTCAGGACCTTGCACTTGCCAGGCAGGTGCTGGTACCAGTGAGCTACATCCCCAGCCCCATAGTTAGATTTTTCCACTTTCCTCTGTCTACTCCTGAGCCGGGGGTGTCTGTAGGACACTCAGGGATTTTAGCTGATGAGACGCACTGTAGTAGCAGTGAATGAAAGGTGGGATGTTTGGAAGCCATAGATAATTTTAAGTGAAATTCCAGTCTTAATTAGCAGGTTTTAGAAATAAAATATCAGTTTGATTTCCCCAGCTCCTGAATAGATTTTCAGGAATAGCTTGTCCTTCTCATAAGCTTATCTGAATAGCAGTCTGCTTCCAGCATCAACAATACCATGTTTAAGGGTTAGAAAAAGTAAAACTAAGATCATCTGGTGTCAGTAAAGTTGGAGATTGCCTGAGCCTATGATTATCCATTTCACAGATAAGGGAATGAGAGCTAGAGTTTTAATAGCTTCATCAAGACCTTACATTGTTTGGAGAGTGATGATTTTATGTACTGTAAATCTTTATATAGTCTTGGGCTGTGCGTGTGTGTGTGTGTGTGTGTGTGTGTGTGTCTTGTATGTATCTAGAAACACATAGACAATCAAATCTTATAAATGAGTTTTTTACAAAAATCACATGTTTTAGCTGGGCATGGTGGCACATAGCTGTAATCCCAGCACTTGGGAGGCTGAGGCAGGAGGATTGCCACAAGTTCAAGGTCAGCCTGAGCTACATATAGAGACTCTGTCTCCAAAAAAAAAAAAATCTTTTGAATAGCATGAACACAGGGTACCATTCCAGGTTGGGTAGCCTTCTTTTCTTTTCCTTTTTTTTTGGTACCGGGGATCGAACTCAGGACCTTGTGCTTGCAAGGAAAGCACCAGAACCAGTGAGCTAAATCCCCGGCCCTGGTAGCCTTATTTTCTAATATCAGGAAACCCCCTCTGTGTGTGTGTGGCGGGGGGGGCACTTCTCTTTGTGTGTATGTGCTTTAAAGGCCAGCACATTTTTAATTGGAAATTAATGTATGTTTCTTTATTGAAGGGTAAGTTTTTGCCAAAAGAGGAAACATAAACTTTTTAATGTCACAAAAATTAGAATTGCCAAATCTTAAACTTCATGCCAACAGGAAATTGGTAGAATTTATGTCTCGAGTGGACACGGAGCCACCCTCAGAGTTGGGCCACCCTGGGGCTCAGAGGAGCCACATGGAGTCGGCGACTGCCACACAAAGACCCTGAGAGTCAAGCCATGTCCCGAATGTAGTGGTTTATCGAGCGTTTTCCACATTCACAGCAAGACAGGGCGCCCAGGTGCAGGATCTGCCTTCCCCCGGTCAGCACCAGCACGGGGACAACTCAGGGCGACCCAGGGACCGCACGGGCAGAGCCAGTCACAGGCAGCTCTGCCCAAGCAGCACCCGGGGCCCATCCACTTCCTGCCGCGGGCAGTTTGGTACAAACATGCTAGTCTCACAGTGGCAGGAATACACTTTTAGAAAACATTTCTCCTGAGTTTCTCAAGACAAGTTTGGCATGCGGGCCCTGTGGTTATCACACCATCCGGTCACCACACAAGTTGTCACAGGCAAGGGGTTGAAGCTCGCCACACTGTCAAGCTGGCTTAGATTCAGTTTTAAACCAGACAGAAGCCTCCGGTGGCTTTTGTCCTGCTCACATCGTCACACCAATTGGGAGAACATCTTTCGGAAAGAACTCATCTTTGGGAGCATAATTACAGGCTTCAGTGAATGACCATGCTTGCTAATTGTGCCATTAGCTGTGAGGCTGTGATGTCTCCACATTTACTTAGGCGGCGAAAGGTAGTCCTTGGTAGAGTCATGGTTACCCTCACGAGCAACTCCAAAGCAAGCCAGAGTCACTGCCACCGCCGTGTTGACTGTGCGAGTGACTTCCTCTGGCGTCTTGCCCAGAACAGGGTTTACCTCCATGATGTCCAGCCCTGAGAGCAGACCTGCAAACCAACCAACACACAGTGAGACTGTGATTTCTGGACTGGATCACATGTTAAGATCAGTACAGACTGACTTCAAGGTTGCCTCGTAGCTGTTGGGCTACTGCATCATGTGACTGGTGTCTGGACCTGTCCACTGGGGCTTGGTGTTCAAATCAGGGAGCCATGAGTACCTACCTACAGGCCAAGACTTGCTTCTCCGTGCCTCTAGTTCTTACCCACCTGTCTTGTAAATCTCTTCTGTGATGTAGATGCCTTCTCTATGAGACAGACCTCCCACAACAGGCGTGCCCGTAGCAGGTGTGATGGAAGGGTCCAGCCCATCAACGTCAAAACTCAGGTGAATTGGCCTTTTCTTTCTTTTAAGGAGTGGGACAGGATTAAAATTGGTGGTGTAATATTTGGTAGAAAAATACAGTTGTCCTGCTTTGTAAAAGGTAATGACAGTGGAGTTCCAGGGTTTCCCTTGGGCTTCCTTAATTCCTGACGTGGGCTGGTTCCCCTAGCACATCCTCTGTTGCCCACCAGCATGCACACAGGGCACCGTACCTTCCTAGCAGGTAGGCCAGCGCTTCCTCCATCACCTTGCCGATGCCCAGTCTGTCCACCTCAGTCATTGAGAAATACTTAATACCCAGGGTTTTCACAATATGGCTATAAAAGAAGAGTTACAAAGACAATCTCCAGTTAGTAAGGCTGACCGTGCCCCACTGTTGCCGTCTACAAAAAGGCTGGTGTGAAGTATCTATTTAAGCTCTGTGAACTATGTGTATATGCATGTATATAGCACTGCTTACTTTAACAGCAAATCAACTCGGATATAAGTTGCCTGATATTTATATGTATGTAAATGTATATAAATACAGACACATACATTGACTTCTTGTTTACGGTGTTTTCTCATAGAGATTTTGGCCAATAAACACATCTAGTACACAAGAATGAAAAGGCAGGCAGACCCCACTGAGGGTTAAACTCACTGCTCCCCGGGGTCCACGTCTCTCAAGCCGATGTACACGATGTCCTTGGCCGACAGGCAGGGCGTCAGCCAGGAGAAGCCCGGGACGTCCGGCATCTGCAACGCAAGTGCGCATGTGTAGGAGGTCGCGTGCTGGATTGCGTGCATCTTACATTCAGAATGTAGGTTTGGAGCAAATCGTTTAAAGATCACAAAGTTAAGGAGGTAGGTGCCTGTCTCCGCTGGCAGAGCCCTTGGTGGTTTGAGCCTTACTAGTGCTGCCTGTGGCCCAGACCCTGCTTTTCCGGATTCGAACCCGAGGTTCAGCACAGCCTTCTCAGCACAGCCTTAATCCCCAGGATGCCTGGAGCACATGTGGGCAAGTGGGGCGAGACCCTGGGTTGCTCTTAACACCAAGCTATGATCACTGACGTCTGCTTGGTCCTGGAGCCAACTTTGGGTGACATTTTGCAGATTTATAAGCAAGCCCCTTGGTCATCAGCTCAAAAAAAAAAAGGTTATTTTGAGTGTGTTTCATAAGGAGGTTTGAATCCCTTTGAATCATCATGAGGGTCAGTGTGTTACAACTATAATAATTAAAAGTGATTTTTATTGATAGACTACAGTCTATCAATAAAAATTGTGAGCCACAGTGTTAAATCTTAATCTGGAAGTTTAAATCTTGGAGAACAGTTTCTAGGGAGAAATTCCTTCCTCTTATGATTTAAGATAGGTGCTTCTTACAGTGAAGATAGTAAATAATAAATCATTGTATCTGCCTTTAAACGCTTAAAAAGAGCCTGTGATGTAGCGGCAACACTGTAATAAAGAAGGAGCCTAAAAATCATAGTGCGGGGAGAGGTAGGGGCTGGAGGCCTGGTTCTGGCCCTTGCATCAACATATGCCTGACATGGGGTCTTGGGTAAGTTGGTCGATCTCTGAGTGCCTTCTAACTTGTTTATAAAGATTACTCTTTGCTGCACTCAAAGGGCCAGTTTAAAAAGTCGAAATGGCCAGGCATACTGGCGAAGACTTGGGAGTCTGAGGCGGGAGGATCACCGTAAATTCAAGGCCAGCCTGAACCCTGTCTCAAAAACAACAAAAGCGATGCTTCCTTCTTGCCCTGCAGCTCCTGAGCTTGCGCTAAATAACAGTGCCAGCCAGCTTTACCTTTCCCTTCAGCTCCTTCAGGAGGAAGGACACAGGCTGGCCGTGCATGTTCCCGGTCGTGGTGGTCATAGGAGTGTTGATATCCGTGTGGGCATCCACCCAGATGACACCGAGGTCCGGGTGGACCCTGGCGTGGCCAGAGATGGTGCCGATCGCCAGGCTGGAGAGAAAAGCTTGTGTGAACGTCAGGTTTTCAAAGCCATTGTGCACAGCAAGTACCAGGCCGCCTTAGTGGCCCAGGCTGCTCCAGGTCTGAGCAGCGGCTTCTGGGGCCACCATCAGACACTTCTAACAGCAGAGACCAGAGCCCAGGTTGCTGAGTGTTAAGTGACGTGACTATGGATCACAGGCTAACCACTTCCTACACTGTAGAAAATATCAGCCACACGGAAAGTCCCTGTCATGAGATGCTGTTCAATTCTCAGGGTTAGATCTGGCTCCTTTGCCGCTCCCGCATCTCTCTTGGTAAGTACTTAATTCGCTCAGGGATTTATGACAAAGTCCCTTGGATTTTCAAAAATGCAGCTCTCATTCTCACAGCCCCGAGCATCTCAGAAGTTCCTGGGGTCCAGCAGGTCTCGCTCTGAGGGGCTCCGGTCCTCTGCTGTAACCACTGCCGTCCTGCCCGGGTGCTGTGCCCCTCGGGGCTGGGTGTGTCCTCAGTGTCCCAGCTCCAAACAGGGTCCAGAACAGCAGAGCTAAGGGCTGCGCTGCATGGCACAGAAGTGATTAGACTGGATTTACCAGTACTGCAGGGGGAGGGGGACAGGAGACAGATGGGAGGGAGGGGACGAGGGAAAAATTCAGAGCAGGTATGGACCTGGGGCACCTCCCCATACCAATGTAATTGACGTGTAATGCAAACACGTACTAATAAAATAAGAAGTACAAAAAACAAAACAAAAATGATGTCTGTAGTCTCCCGCTTCTGAACATTTAAATATCATTCAAAGAATCATGAGCTCACCAGGTCTGGTGGCACACACCTGCAGTCCAGCACTGTCCAGGCTGAGGCAGGGCGATTGCTGGGATTCCAAAGCCAGCCTAGGCTACATAGTGGAACCATGTCTCAAAAAGCAAAAACAAAACAAAACAAAAAAACCAAAAAAAACAACTGAACCCAAACAAAACCAGAATCATGAAGTATCAGATTATCAAAGGGGGGGTGATCATGCCTCGAAGCCCAGGTGTTGACTATTGTTTAGGTTCCCTTCAGGTTTCTTCTTTTGGCTGCTTGCTACTCTTAAAATTTCCACTTTTAAATTTTTCCACTTAAAAAAGAATGTGGAAATTCTGAGCCCCACTCTCAAAGCTGCAGCTTTGCTGCCGAAGCCCTGGTCACACTTGGTCGTAGGAGACCAAAGTGAGGGACGAAGAAGCCTCTGGCAACACGACCCTGACAGCAGCGGAGAGAAGACTCTGCCACACCGTTTGTAATGGTGAAGATGGGAGAATAACGCAAGTATCTGACCATATGAGGATTACATCTATGTGTACATGTCATTCCTTGAAAAACTGCAGCAGTCTGGGGTTATGCGTATCCTATGAAGTAATAAGGAAATCTGTACTGTAGATTAAGAAGATAAAGGGTGTAATGAACACACACACACACACACACACACACAGACATGATATTGTTAAATGAAATCATAAGTAAAGAAGATTCCATGAAGGAATTATGCCAGATTTTCAATTCTCATTGAAAAGCTTGTTAGAGAAGTGAAATTAGCACTGTTACTTTTTTCTTGTGTGTGGTGTGTGGTGTGTGTGTGTGTGTGTGTGTGCTTTCAGACATTTTACAATGGAAAGCACGTACTTTTAAATTGTTAACTAACCAAAGTAAGTTGTGTGTATTATCAGTATTTGGGTAGAATAAGCTATGGGTTTCCTCAATGCCTATTTATTTAGAAATGTGAGCCTGTACCAAATATTGTGCTGACATCCATTCATTTGGCACATATTTTCTGCTACACTAAAGACACGGTATGACTTCAAATGGCGTTACGTTTGTTTCCATAGTAAAGTAGGCGACAGGTAGTATGTTCTATAAAGGTAGAGGAATCGCTTCTCGGCCTTTTGGCTAAGATCAAGTGTAGTATCTGTTCTTATCAGTATAAAGGTAGAGGGTTCAGTATAAAGTATCAGTTAGTGCTTTTCTATCTACACATCCTCTCTTCTGTGGTCTCGGTCACATTCCCTTTCCACCCATGTCCCTCCCGCCCCGGGACCCGGCCCCACACAACACCTGTGGTCTCCACCCAAGACCAGGCTGACTCTGCCGCTCTTCTGCACCTTGGCCACCATGTGTGCCAGCTCCTCGGTGGCTTTCCCCACAGTCCTGGGGTTCTTCATGATTCCAAAGGGAGCGTCATTAGGGACATCGGTGAAGGACAGGTCCCCGTAGTCCTGCACATCACACTCTAAGGTAAACAGAAGGTTTCCAGTTATTAAAACAGGTTGCAAAACGGTGGGTGTAAGACGATTCCAAACACAGAAACTCAGGATGTTTTCAAAGGCAGAAGCAAAGCGGAAGCTGGGGCAGACAGTAGACACTATAAAGGGCGAGATTCTTGGGCCCAGCTCCTGGCCACCTTCCTCACCTGCTGGGCGCCCAGGCCTGTACTGCCTTGGTAGACCCAGTTAGATGGGATGCCAGGTTCAGGGCCAGTAACTTTCCGCTTTGGACCTAATCGGGACATCCTGCTTTTGTCTCCGCCCCTGACTGCTCCTGTGCTTTCTGTCTTTCCATAATGAGCACAGTTTGGTTCTTTAATAAATAGTTAATAGGCCCAAAAGAAAGTGCATTCATGTTTTCTCCATTGTCTGACTCTTAGTAATGAACAGTGCTTGGTTTTGGTGCAATCCATCACCTGCAAAAGGTGCGCGGCTTCCTTCTCTGGTGACCGCCTGCCTCGGGGTGCGGATATTCGGGTTAATGTGCTTAGCCCTGAGCCTTGCGCTTTACAGAATACAGGAAATAAAACCTGTATGCTTTTATAAGAAGAAAAACTTGCAGGTCACTCCATTCCTAAGAATATGGAGAATATGCCTCATAAAAGGCCCTGCCGAAGGCTTCAAAACTAGAGCTCCAGCCAGGAACAGTGGAACAGGCTTGTGGTCCCAGAGCTCTGGGAGGCTGAGGCAGGAGGGTCCCAGGTGTGAACCCAGCCTGGGCAATTTAGCAATTTAGTGAGACTGTCTCAAAATAAAACATGAAAAAAAAAAAAAGGCTGGAAACGTAGCTAAGTAAGCAAGGCTCTGGGTTAAGTCCCCAGCACTACAAAGAATAAAAATAGAAAGGGGTGGGGAGGTATCTCAGTGTGAGGGGCCTGGGTTCAATCCTTAGTACTGCAGTAATAGTAATAGTAACAAGAAGGGTGGAGACGAAGCTCAATGTGAAGGCCTGGGTTCGATCCTCCGTACCGAAAAAACAGCAAAAACGAGTTTCCTGAAAACTGATAGAGGAGCAGTTTAGTGCTCTAAACTAAAGGGCTTTTGCACTGAGCCTCATCTCCAGCCCTTTTTCTCATTTTTAAAATTTTGAGACAGGGTCTCACTAAGCTGCTAAGTTGCCCAGTTGGACTGGAACTTTCGATCCTCCTGTTTCAGCCTCCTAGAGTGCTGGGGCTACAGGACTACACGCCCCACTTAGGAGGTCTAATTCTTTTCCATTAGAACTCACTCACTGTAAGTGCACAGATCAGTGAGTTTGGGGAATATCTACAGTCTTACAACCACTGCCCGACAGGCAGGATGGAAAACACTTCCATCCCTTATGGTCGGTTCCTGCCCCACCCCAGGAGCTGCGGCCTGGCTCTCTCCTGCCATGCTTTTGTCTCGCCAGAATTTCCCACAGATGGAATCACCCAGTAGGCAGCCTTTCGTGTCTGGCCTGTCACGGAGCATGGAGTCCGTGTCATTGGCCTGGTCCGTTGTACTGTTGAGTGCCACCCCACTGTATGGCAGGGCTACCTTTTGTGTGTCTGTCCACCACCGAATGGCACTTTTTTGTTTCCATTTTTTCTTATCATAAACACGGCCACTACGTATTTAAGTACAAGTCTTTACATGGATATTTGTTTTCTCTTGGGCAAATATCAGGAAGTAGAACTACTAGGTCAAAAGAAAAATAGATGTTTATTGAAGAAACTGCCAAAGTGCTTTCCAAAGTGACTGTGCCATTTTGTATTCCCGCTGGAAATCGAGGAGGGTTCCAGTTGTTCTCCAAGCGCGCTCTCCTGAGTAGGTGCTTCCTGTGGCCTGTTGTTTTTCATTTTCAATTCCCCAGTCCCTGTCCCACCCACCCGGCGCCACTCCCTGCACACATAGGTGCTTTTGTACAATAGTTTAGCTGGAAATACAATCCACCTGAGTCATGTCTCCAACCCACAATGCTTACTGACCTTTTGGATCATGGCCTGCTTTTTTTTTTTTTTTGGTACCAGGGGTTGAACTTGGGACCTTGCGCTTGCAAATCAGGTGGTGGAACCACTGAGCTAAATCCCTGGCCTGTGCCCTGCTTTTTACCAGAATGTGGGTGTAAAGGACAGCCAGCACCACAGTTCTGTGGTATAAACAGCACTTGAGATGGGGTCCCTGTTCCCAGAGGAGGGGGGAAGTCGGGCCAATCACCTCTCGATTTAAAAGTTACCTTGTTCTTTAAGTTTCTCCAGTAGACCAGCATATCTCAACGCCGAAGGGCCTTTTTCTACTCCTCCTCGAGGCTGAATGATCAGAAAAGAAAAAACTTCAGTCTGGGCCCTGACCATTTGAAGCACGCACTGAACACTGTTTTATCATTTAATCAGTTGCATTATAACTGTCATTGTTTCGCCAGGAATTCACACTCTCTCGGGTGATTTTCACAGTAAGGTAAATGGAATCACTCCTACGACCGACCGATAGAAGGAACAAGAATCACAGTTTCGTGGCTGTTCCTTGGCACATGGCTGACGGGTGGCAGACACTTGGGATCTCCTGGTTCTTTGGGTTCCAAAACCCGCACCCCTCTTCCCATCACACCACAATAACCCCATAATGAACCCTGGCAAATCGCTCTGCTAGACGGGGACAGGACAACGAAAAGCAGACAGCGGCTATCTGTGAGTTGCAAAGTAAGGCAACAATATGCAGACACAGAGTTCTAGTAACTGGCACAGCGCAGGTGCTAGACGTCATGGAGTGAAAACAGGTGCTTCTGACTGGGCTGGGGACAGTGTCCGTGGAGGCTGCCTCTCTGAGCTCGGTCTTGCAGCATGAACAAGTGGTCAGGGAAACAGGACAGGTGAGGGAGAAACTCTGCATAGCTGGGGGGCAGCATATATGAAGGCCCCAGAAGACAAACCCACATGCGAGTCCTCAAAGAAGAAAGCTAGGGACACAGGAAAAATCATCTCCTGGGAGACAAAAGCACAAACAAGACCAACCCAGAAAGCTGAAGTTCTGACCTGCTCAAGAAGCCATGACGAAGCTGCTGCTCCGCCTCCTGGCCCCGCCCTGGGCTGGTAGAGGTCTGAAGAAGCAGCTCAGCCCTGTGCCTTTCTGATTCTACTTCACATGCAGAAAGTTATTTATTTCTGTCAGATGAGAAGATTCACCAAAAGACATGTGTTTGTCACTAGGATCAGGACTGGGTGACTTGCCCTGGGTGTCAGGCAAATAGTCCATGTCAAATTCCTGTCCCTGGTGACAAGGGACCCCACATGCTCTGGCTGACACATTTTCTTCCTTTACTTCATTCTCTCTTTCTTGTTTCAGGTTTTGATTGGCACATGACATCTGACTTGTGTATGAAGTACTGTGTGAGGTCCTGGTCAGGTATACCCTGCGATAATCAACTCCAGGTGATCAGCATGTCTCACCTCAAACTTACTATTTCTTTGTTTTGGGGGCTGGGTGTTGGTGATCAAACTCAGGAGCTTGTGGTTGCCAGGTAGATGCTGTGCTGCTGAGCCACATTCCCAGTCCCTGACATTTCTTTACGGTGGATTAATTCAAATTTGTACTCGCAGACCAATATCTTAGGAGTTGTAACGTCTCCCTATTTGGCCCTCAATAGAGTGCTACTTGGTTTATACTTTGCCTTTAGTTTTATGTCTGTTTTTGTCTTTTCTCTGTTGTCAGATTTCGGTCTAAACCTCTGCCCTCGGGACACCATATGGTGGAGAGTAGTTCTGCAGTCTCCAGCATTAACTGTTTGATAAAACCCTGTGGCCCCTTTGCCCTTTCCCCTTCAGAAGTCAGAACAAACTTCATAGATCCCTTAGGTGACCCTGTATTTGCTATTAAGACAGTCATAGAATTTCTCACGGATTTTCTAGCTTTCTTTTCTATTTATTTGGTTCAAACTGTTTCTCATGATTTTTTTTTTTTTTTTTTTTTTCTGAGACAGGGTCTCGCTGCGTAGTCCAGGCTGGCCTTGAACTCACTATGTAGCCCAGGCTGGCCTTTGAAATTGTGGCGATCCTCCTGCCTCAGCTTCCTGAGTGCTGGGATTACAAGAGTGAACCACCAAGATTGGCTATGACCGATCGTTCCTCACTGCTTAGTGTATCTACCTACTTTGGACATTGCTTTGTGTGCTCCACAGAGTTTCTGTATATCCAAGAGAAAAATAACACTTGCCTCATTGTTTACTCACTGCCTTGCAAGGGCTCAGGCAGGGATTGGCAGTTCTTCCTCAGACTCAACATGTGGTCATTTACCCTCCATTCTCTTTCAACTGCAGCCTTTTTTTAAAGGTAGGGACAAATGCTTACAAGTTAGCCATTTTTTGCCTCTAATGTATGGCTTAACATAGAAAAATTTAACTCAAGGCTTACAATCATGAGATATTAATTTTTTTTTTTTTGACACCGTGGTTCAGGCTGCCCTTGAACTCACTATGTAGTCTAGGCTGACCTTGAACTTGCAGGGATCCTCCTGCCTCAGCCTCCCAAGAGCTGGGATCATAGGTGTCCATAACGACAATTGACTAATAACCTTCATTTTTATGGCCGTGTTTCAAGGGGAGAAGATGAGGGTGGGGTTACTGAGAGTGAAAATATATCAAGCTGTGTTTCAGCCCCTGAAGGGGCTGTCGCTTTCAGGGTTAGGGATTTGCTGAGGCCCAGGGGCCAGAGCATGTTTGGTCTCCCTGCCCCTCCTCTCCCTCCCCTCCCCCTGATCCCCTTATTTCCTTCTTCTTTTTGTTCAGTTTTTTTCATTTCTATCTGAACCATAATCTGTTCCAAGAATAGAGGAGCCTGTCGGGGATTTTGAAGAGAAACACAGGGCAGCAAATGGCCCTGTGTTCCAGGAGAGGTCTCTGTGAGCTCCCTGCGAAGGGAGACAGTCCACACACCTTTCGGGCTTCCAGCTCGGAGCTCTCCCAATTTTGTGTTGCCATAAAAACTCAGAGTTCACAGAAAAAATTCAAAACTAAGAGGGGGAGAAAGTCCTGGGTTCTAAGCAACTGGGACCGGCCACTTTAAAAAAGAATCCCTCTCAGGGGGTTCATATTGTCTTCTTTGGGTTTTTCCCCTTCTTTCAGCACAGACCTGGTTGAAGTCTAAGGCATTCTGTCACCTCAGAATTGCCGGAATGAGTGTGCCCGGCAGAAAAAAAGACAATTTAAATATCACGGTCGGGTGTGGACTGGAACTTAGATGGCTTTAGGATGATCTTGGAGATTCATAAACTCATTTCCTGTCAGCGTGGCCCACATGCAGGATTTTGTTCCCCAGTCCAAGATAAATACATGAAAGATTCTACTTGAACTTTTATAAAATCATTAAAACCCCAAAAGAAGACGAGTCATTCACAAAGTCACACACAGCAATTGATATTTAAATTTACCAAATTAAAAGAAGTCTAAAGCTTGCCACTGATCCATGAAGACTTTCTAAGCATCCATTTCACAGTCAAGCAAAGGTGTTTTTAAAATTCTCTCTCCCTCTACATCCTCAGGAGACATCCAAACCAACAAGAGCAACAAAACCAGACAAGAAGCTGCAACGCTGAAAGGGAGCATTTCAATTCAAATAACATTTTCTTTTTCTGAAATGTGAGCAAACATTCAGTAGAGTTAAACCACACTGAGTGTGGCAGAGGTCAGGGGTGCTAAGCATGGGTGTGGGGGGAGATCATGGCAAGATAATGTCGCAAGATGGTAAGAAAACTTTAAAACACGGGCCCTTGGGCCAGATTACGTGAGGCAATTTAATTAACAAGACAGTAACAACTCACGTTTGGAAGTTCAAAAAGTCCCAGTCCATTCCGGACCTGGACCTTCCGAGCCAGGCTTAGCCAGGCTTTTTACTCACCTGACCTTTTGAGAAAGGGGCTCCGATGACCCCCACGGACTTCGACTTGGAACTCATGCTGCCTGAGGCTTGCCCGCTCCCCTGAGCTCTCTGGCCAGGGGCACCTCTGCAGCCTGCAGATGAAGACGCATTTTTTTTCCACTTAAAATGGGTTGAGCTTGTTTACTTTATTCTAATGAGAACAGCTGGCTCTGCCCACTAAAAGGCATGGCCTTCAACAGAAATCTTGCACATTCTTGGTGCATGGAATAAGCCTGATTTGTCTGAGCCTAGGTCTCTAATTAAGTGAGCATTATTCATGTTCCTGTTCACACCCATTTTTTTTTTTTTTTTTTGGTTACCGAGGATTGAACTCAGGTTCTTCCGCTTGTGGTGCAGTCTGCGGAACCACTGAGTTAAATCTCCGGCCCCTTTCACACCCTTTTCTGAAAAGCCAGTTGAATGACATTAATCCTCCTTAGACAAGTGGCAATTACGTGCGGTTTCATAACCACGGAAGAAAGGAGCCCAATGGCTCTGGTTGGGCAACCCCAGGGCCGGGTGCTTGCGTCCTCCAGGCTTGGAGTCTAGCAGGGGGCTGCAGAAAGGGGCTTGGCCTGAGCCCAGCCAGGGGCGCACACTCCCACCCAGCTCAGGTCCTGAGTTAGGGCTCACAGTCACACACCGCTAGGGGACATTATCAGGGAAAGCATGTTACTTCCTTTTTGATTATTATTTTAAAAAATCAGTCACTTCATTGATACCATTCTTGAAATGTAATGTGGAGGAAAGTAACATTTTAAAATCATAATACCATAATCAAGATATAAGGACAGCTAACACTGAGCTTTCTTCCTTCCTTCTTTGGGTTTTTGACACAGGGTCTTGCTATACAGTTCAGGCTGCCCTCAAACTCACAGAGGTCCTCCTGCCTCAGCCTCCTGAGTGCTGGGATTATAGACATGCACCGCCATGCCTAGCTAATACTGAGCTTTTATTAAAGACAGTGTATTACAGTAATGCTGCATACTCACATTTACTGAGGTGCAGTTCACATGAGCTAAACTGTGGAAACAGCCTCTATGCCCATCAATAGATGACTAGACAAAGGAAATGTGTGATAGATATGCAATGGAGTACAATTCAGCCATAAAGAAGAATGAAGTCAAGTCATCTGCAGGAAAATGGATGGAACTGGAGACCATAATGTTAATTAAGTGAAATAAGCTAGACTTGGATAAATACCACGTTTTCTCTTATATGAGGAATTTTTTAGTGAGATGTCAGGAAAGTAGAAGGTGGACTATTAGAGAGGAGGAAGGAATCATGGGAGAGGGAGAGGAGGAGGGCCTGTGTAACGGGGGACGGCAGCAATCAAAGTGTGTTACATGCACGTTACCCATATGCCAAAATGAAATCCGTTATTCTGTATTACTAATATTCACTAACACAAACGAAAGAAAAGAATGTTGTTCAGACAAGATTCTGGGTTGTATTTTGCTCAAGGGGAAAGAAAAGAATTTAGAAGAAATGTACCCAAGAACCTTCTCAACTTTAAAGCTGTATGATTGCAATTTTTTTTTCTTTTTTTTTTAGTATTTTCAGACAGGGTCTCACTATGTAGTTCAGGGTGGCCTCAAACTTATGGCCTCCTGGGTGCTGGGATTATAGGCGTGTACCACCCTGCCCCGCTAGTATGACTGAAATTTAAAAAAGAAACTCCTCCTCTGTCCTATTGAGGGAAGAAATACTGAGGATTATTTAAATACTATAAGGTAGAGATTTTGACTGCCATATCCTCATACCTAGAGCACAGCTGATAGGCACTGAATACATAGTTATTGAATGAATAAATGGGGAGACTGAGGTCTCACAGGATCAGGCTGATAGCATTGTTTTCCAAATGGGCTTCCTATGTTTTACTTGTGGATTTCCTCATATGTGGTATGGTCAAAATATACAGTGAATGTTTAAATTTTCAAAAAAATTTACCATAGTAAAAGACACACTGCCATATCTTCCCTCAGGCTCCTGCCCTTCACTTTGAACACACTCATCCCATCGTTCTTGCCACTTTCTTGAGCAAGTCTGGAAGTCCTCTTTTGTGAGTGTCTTTCCAGAGGGTGATTAAAAATACAGCAGTGAATGCTGCTGCTGAGTGCTATCCAGTGGAAAAGCAGCTCATAAAGACATGATGGTGTTTCCTCATCCATGGTCCTCACTATCTGACAGCGTGTGACTTCTGGCTCTTCTTCAAAGCCAAATGACCATGCAGGGTTAATGTTTTAAACTGATCCAGAACATGGAAGCAACCTGGAGAGTGCAAAGACACAAAAAGTGACTTCTGGAACTGCTTAAGAAAGGGACAAGAATTATGGGATAAATATTTTCAAAGCAAGGATGAGTATTTTGCAAGGGATTTCTCCCAATGTGTCTCTTACTATAATAATTTTTAAGAATTTAAACATTCCCCTATATTTCAATAACATCTTATATATTCTAAATATTTTTTGTATAGTTTACCTGTTAACCTTTTATGGTTGACATTGCAAGTAACTTTTTTTAATCTATCGGAAGTCTGATAATTTTGTATATGTTATCATTCAAAATCCTTAATTCTAAAATAGTTGAATAATTTTGCCCTTCTACCTTGTGTTTTGGGAGCTTTAAGTCCTGCCCTCTCCCCAAACCACAAGTATTTACTTCTAAATTTTTCTTCTATTCGTTTTAAAGTTTTTATCTTTCACATTTAATTCTTCAGTCCACCTAAGCCAACTTTTATATATTATGTAAGTTTCAAATGTATTTTCCCCCTTTATCATCCGGCAGGTTCCTTATCAACACCCATAAAACAGTCCACTTGTGTTGCTATGGCTTCGATTACTATCTTCTTCCTACTCAGTTCCGCTTCATAAATGGGTCTGTGGTTGTGAAATTACTTCTGTGCCATTGACTTATTTACCTGAGCTATCCCAGATCCATAAATTTTTTATTGTTATGGCTTTATGTTATATCTTATTGCTTGGAAAGAAGTAACAAATTTGCTATCGCTCAAATTTCATTGCCAGAACTTTTTTCTTTTGAAAAACTTTAGCATCCTAAAAGCCCTTTGCAGACCAAATGCAGAGTGCCTTTCTGTCATGTAAACCATTGGCCAAACCACTTTGATCCAAGTTAAACATACCATTTCTTGGCTGTGACGTCTTTCTTGGTCCCTATTGTTTAGGATGAAATCCTCATTTACCCCATTGGTTTCTTGTGTTATGTGGTTACTATTTCATTCAGATCATCAACCTTGTTACTCCCTTCAAGTCACCTTACAGCTTCCCTCTGACCTCCTTAAATGAAAACCCAGAACCCAGTCCTTACACCCAAATGTACGTGGAGTCATCTGGTCTGTCCAGCACAAGTTTGGCAGTACTTGCCTTCTCCAGCTCATGGTAAAAGTGTTGACCAAGGAATGACTTACTTAAGAGCTTCGTGGAATCCTACTGTCAACCTCAACCTGACATGCCACAGCTGCAGTCAGCACTCCTACTCCCACTCTGTTGACTAAGTCCCAGCTCAACCGCTCCATCCCGTCCATAAAGGAAACTCAGGACTTCCGTCAAGTGACTCTGCGAGATCTTGCTACATTTTGTGGTTACCTTTTGTCATCCACTGCTCTGACTTCCTTGTCGAAGGAGATAAGCTGCCTGTGGTGAGTTCCCTTTCTGGTGACCCCATGCTGACTTCTAAGGATAATACTTCCTTTTCATCATAAACACAAACTATCTTTTCAATCTCCAAAGCTGTCATCTCAGGACTCAGCAGACATTGTGTGTGTATAGGTGGGTGTCCACATTTCCAGCTCATTCTTCCATTTATCTTAGAGTATATGTACATACCGGGGATTTCCAAAGCTCTTCTAATAATGAAGACCTCTTAACCAATCCCCCACACACCTGGCCTTTTCCTGCAGATGAGATCACATCATATTTGACCTCGATCCCAACCACTAGAATGAGATCTAGTGCGCAGGACTCACTTCTTACTTTCCCATGGCTGCTCTAACAAAGTGGGTGGCTTCAAACAGCGGAACATTGTTCTCTTCTAGCTTGGAGGCTGGAGGTCTGAAATCAAGGCTTTGGCACACTCTCGCTCCCTTTGAAATCTATATGGGAATCTTTCTGGGCCTTTCCTAACTTCAGGTGGTTTTTTGGAAATCTTTGGGCTGCGTGGCTTGCAGCTGTGCATCTCGCTAGTCCTCCATATTCACATGACTGTCTTTTTATGAGGACATGGCTAATATGTACGAAGGGCCTGCCCTGCTCCACTATGGCCTCCTCTTAATGAATTACATCTGCAACGACCCTAGTTCAAATAAAGCCACAGCTGGAGGTAGTGGTGTTTAAGACTTCAACATATATTTGGGGAGGATATGTTCAACCTCTAAGACACTTCAATTAATGCTTTTGAAATAATAAAAATGATACAAAGAGGCTAAATAAAAATGTTGTATGAAAAGAAAGACCAAAAAATGGCCACATCTCTTGTCCTCCATCTGTTTCTCTTTCTGATGCTCTAAACAGTGGCCCATTTGTCCACTAGGTTTTTGTCAGCCAGCAAATAGCCAGCACTCTTTTTAGGTGAAGCCCAGGATTCTTAGCACTTTTCTAGGGAGCTGAAAAAGTCACGAAAATTCACAGGGCTAAATGGCTAATGGGGTGATTCAGGGAATCATTTTCTTTGGTGTCTAGATTTCTCATCATTCCCTTCTTTATCGCTTTACTCGCCCATACTTGAAGTAGTACTCGGCAGATACAGGCAAGAAGATGTCAAAGAGCAACATCCCCGAGCTCTTTATTGGCACAGGGAGCTCAAGGCAATGCTCCTCGGGACCAGGTGACAGAGCAAGACCCGCCAAGGGAGCTTCACTCCCCTCGGTGCTGTGAGGCTTCCAGAGAGCTCACCCGGTGGCCAACAACACCCTCAAGGCCACCCCTGTGTCAGGGAACATATTTGTCTCATTTTGGAAGCTTCAGCTACAGGTTTCCCCCAAGAGTCTACAGACAGTGGAGGAAGAAGGTATAAATCACAGCTCATTGAAATCACTAGGTTCATAGTCACATGAGTTGTTGCTGAGTATTCCTAGAAATAATGTGGGTACTTAATAGTATCTTGAACTTGTGGGTTAGGGTTGGAGCCAAAAGCTACTGTGTATCACCTTTATTGGG